TGGGAATTGAGTTTGCTATGTCTGGGAAGGGCATAGTGATGAATCAAAAAAAATATGCTTTAGAGCTCATTTCTGAATCAGGACTGAGTGGAGCTAAACCTGCAGGAACTCCACTAGAGTTGAATAAAAAAATTACCTCTTTGGATTATACTTGCTCCAAAGTGACAATACAGCTGCATATGAAAAGCTGAAGGATCCTAGTATCTATCAGAGGCTGGTGGGTAGACTTTTATACCTCACCATGACTAGACCTGACCTAGCATTTGCAGTCCAAGTTCTTAGCCAATATATGCACTGTCCCAAAACATCTCACTTAGAAGCTGCCCTCAGAGTGGTGAAATATATCAAGGCTGAACCTGGTCTAGGACTCCTAATACCTGCTGAGAATACAAGAAAGCTAACAGCCTACTGTGACTCAGATTGGGGGGGGTTGTGTGGAGACAAGAAGGTCTGTTACAGGTTACCTAGTAAACTTTGGTGGTGCTCTTATCTCCTGGAAATCAAAGAAGCAGGAAACTGTCTCCAGGAGCTCAGCTAAGGCTGAATTTAGAAGCATGGCCTCATGCACTACAGAGATTACTTGGCTTGTGGGGTTGTTAAAAGAGCTAGGAATTCTGTGGATGTACCTGTTCAGTTGATATGTGACAGCAAAGCTGGCAATAGGAATTGCAACAAATACAATCTTTCATGAAAGAACCAAGCATATAGACATAGATTGTCACTTTGTAAGAGAAAGGATCTCACATGGTCTGATCAAAACTGAGCATGTGTCTGCAAAGGAACAACTAGCAGATTTACTTACAAAAGGCCTGAGAAAAGCACAACATGATTATCTACTGAGGAAACATGGAGTGAAGAACCTATTTCAACCATCAGCTTGAGGGGGAGTGTTGAACAATGAGCATGTGAAGGCAAAGTTCAAGTTGTAGTTGCAACAATCCAGCTGGGATCCAGCTCATCCTAAATTAGTTAAGATATTAGAAGTGATTGTATAGGAGTTAGTTAGTTATTTATAACTATTAATACATTGTATATGTAATAGCTAAAATAGATTTTTTATTTCCTTTCATATCAGAAATACAGAGCATCCTCTGCTTTCTTCAACATTGAGCTCTTTTTCCTTCTTCGTCTCTCAAGCTGAAAACTCCATTTCCATGGAAGTTATGAATACTCATTGAGATGGGGTACACGCGTAACGCGTGTACCAAAAAATTAGTACAGTAAATAAAGAAATTAAAGGATGATTGAAGCACCAAAACAATGCATTAAAAATTTAACTTTGGAAGACGGGGTCAAAACATTCAGTGTTGACAGTCGAATTCCATAAAGATAGTAGTAGTTATTTTTTATTTTTTGGTAGTATATGCCAACTTCACGTAGTAGTATACTAGATGGTCCGTGCATGTGTTGTGCACGGGCTATGCCTAACATCACTGTATAAAAGAGGTCTGACATTAAGGAAAATAATTTCATACTTGTCTTAGTTGTTTGATAGGATTATCCAAAAAAGGAAGTAATAAGATCAAGGTGACTAAATATTAAGGTCAAATACATAGACAGACCCTTTAACTTGTCAAAATATTTTAGTTGGACACCTCAACTAAGGGTGTGACCTATTGAACACTTAATGTACCTATAAAGTGTGTCTATTGAACCCTCCAATATCATTCAGACAAAAACACAAACGGGGGTAATACAGATGCTGATGACATGGCAATAAACAAATAAACTTTGATACGTGTCATGGAAAAAATATTTAACAGAGAAAAACAAGTCTTTTCTTCTCATCTTCACAATAGCCATGTATCCTTACATCTTCATCCACATTTTTTCGAAAAATCCCGTAAGCTCACTCCAAAGGAAAATCAGCAAGGACATGAAAATTCATTCACCAATGCTCGCTCGAGGTCAAAACCACAACTTTTAACCCATACCCACTAGTAGTGACTAAATCGAGGAGTTCCTTTCCGAGAGCACAATGAGGAATCTGAAGGCTTTAGAAATAGCCATCTCTTGGAACTTCGTTTCTTTCGAACGCTGATTTTTTTTCGTCCCCATTAAAAATATTCTATCTTCTCGGCTCTCGCCATAAATATCATATCTCTGTTTTCTCCTCAATCTTTCCATTGCCGTTAATTTTCCGATACAATTCTCGTTGAACTTTCCGTTATTTGAAATCTCCGTTACCTTATGCCTCCAACAATATCTTCAAAATCAGCGTCCTTTTTCGACATTGAGATACTGCCGGAAATAGTGAACTTATCGCTGTTAATTGCGGACTACCCAATAAGATTCCGTCAGAGATTGTTAAAGATTCAAATTTGTATATCCTTTCATGCAACTGGGTAATATAGAAAGCTTGAAGTCTCTGGCTTTATCGGAAAACATGTTCTCCGATAAACTATCTATCGACAATATTTGCAGAACTTAAGAATATCACTATTTTGAAGAAGGATTGTGGAATCTCTTTTTGATGGGTTTCGTGAGAAATAACATATATGTCTAGTATGTTTTAAGTTGCACATGGTTGTATATTTAATTTTGAAGATTAATTCATACACTTGTCATGAATATCATGAAGGAATAATCTGAGAAGCTTTAGAAATAAAAACAAAGAACAGAAGCAGAAGTTAGGCAAGAGAGAAGTATTAGGCGGAGAGATAGAGAGAGAGGAATTTAGAGTTTATTGTTTTATTCTCTAAAAATCTGTATTTACATTTTATGTTATATATATATATATATATATATATATATATATATATATATATATATATATATATATATATATATATATATATATATATATATGCTAAATATGTAGTTAAGAACTTACTAACTACCTAACAACTCCCTAACAGCTATTAGTTAGTTAATTAATAGCTTTCATCTAAAAGACTAAACTACCCTCACATTACATTATTTAACACTCCCCCTCAAATTAGGTGGTGGAAATATATTAATCACACCTAGTTTGGATTTCAAATATTCATGTTGAACCTTGGTTAGACCTTTTGTAAGAATATCTGCTGGTTGTTCTGTTGTAGAGATGTACTTGGTGTTAATAAGACCTTGTTGAATTCTTTCTCTCACAAAGTGACAATCGATTTCAATGTGTTTGGTTCTCTCATGATAAACTGGATTTACAGCTATTTGAATTGTTGCTTTACTGTCACTAAAGATGTCAATAGGTAGTTGGATCTGTGCATCAACTTCAGTTAGCAGACCATATAACCAAATTAGTTCAGCAACAGTCGTGGCTAGGCTTCTGTATTCTGCCTCTGCAGAACTTTTGGATACAGTGGTCTTCTTCTTAGACTTCCACGAAACTAATGAATCACCAACCTTGACTAAATACCATGTAACTGATTTTCTAGTTAGAGGACATGCAGCCCAGTCTGCATCACAGTAAGTTGTGATTGCATTACTTTGAGAGCTTGATAATAAGATCCCTTGGCCTGGCTGGTTTTTCACATATCTTACTATCCTTAATGCAGCTTCCATGTGAGATATTTTAGGCTGTTGGAGAAATTGGCTAAGAGTCTGAACTCCAAATGCTATATCTGGCCTTGTTACTGTTAAATATAACAATTTTCCTATTAGTCTTTGATAGGATGTTTGATCAACTGCACTGTCTTCATTTCTTGAACACTCTGCCTTGTCAATGTGATCATCATACTGCTTTGAAGTTAATTTGATGTTGACATCTATTGGAGTTATGGCTAGTTTGGCAGCAGCTAATCCAGTTTCTGAAATCAACTCTAAGGCATATTTTCTTTGATGCATAGTAATTCCTTGACTGGACCTTGCAAACTCAATTCCTAGGAAGTATTTGAGCTCCCCCAGATCTTTCATTTTGAAAGCTTTTTGCAGTAGAGTCTTTGTTTCTTCAATTAATTTCAGACTGTCACCTGTAATTAACATGTCATCTACATAAACTAAAATTAGAGTAGTACCTTCTGTTGTCTTTCTAATGAATAAGGAGTGATCATACTGGCTTTGTTTGAATTTGAACCTTAACAATGATTCACACAATTTTGCATTCCATTGTCTAGGTGCCTGTTTAAGTCCATATAGGGATTTAACAAGTCTACATACAGTTTTCTCCCCCTGACTTTTAAATCCCTGTGGTAGATCCATATAAATTTCATCAAATAGATCCCCTTGAAGAAATGCATTGTATACATCCATTTGATGTATATGCCATTTTCTTGAAGCTGCCAATGCTAGAATACTTCTTACTGTTACCATTTTCACTACAGGTGAAAAGGTTTCTTGATAGTCAATTCCTTCCTTTTGGCTATATCCTTTTGCCACTAATCTAGCTTTGAATCTTTCAATTTCTCCTGTGGCTTTGTATTTGATTTTGTAAATCCATTTACACCCTATAGGTTTCTTACCTTCTGGCAAAGTCACAATTTCCCATGTATGATTGTTTTCAAGAGCCTGTATCTCTTCCTCCATAGCCTGAATCCATCTAGGATCTAAAATAGCTTCAGAATAATTAACTGGTTCAGACATTGTTGAAGTTGTAGCTATATATGACTGATATTTAGATGAGAGATGATCATAGCTGATATATTTATTTAAAGCATAAGGAATATTTTGATGGATATTCAGAGATACAAAGTCCTTCAACCATACTGGAGGATGTTTGTCTCTGCAGGATCTTCTTCTATCTCCAACTGAGATCTGATTCTGAACTTCAATAGCACATGGTGTATGTGAATTGTTAGCGTTGGGAACCTCTGAATTTAGCCCTTCATCCGTTTGAACATGAACTATATCTGTGTAGTTTTCTTCACTGTTTTGTTGTATATCACTTACATCATAGTCTGTAATCATTTCTGTGTTCTGTTGCACATTAGTTCCACTAGATTCTGAATTGTCACTAGCATTTGTAGTTGTATTTGTACTTCTGTCTTGAGATAGTATTGGATTATCATACATCATTCTCAATTCTGGAGTTATATCTACAAACACCTGTGAAGGACTATTGTCCTTTATTGTAAATGGAAAAACATCTTCTCTAAATATAACATCTCTGCTTGTGAAGAAAGATTTGTAGTAAGATCATATAAAATATATCCTTTCTGGATTTCTGAATATCCCATATGAATAGCTAGCTTAGCTCTAGGCATTAACTTATCATGCTCTTGTACTGTTTTTGCAAAGCAAAGGCATCCTATTATTCTAAGATGCATAAGTGATGGCTTTCTTTTGTGTAGTCTTTCAAATGGAGACATGTTTCCAATAACAATACTAGGCATTCTATTTATTAGATATACAGCAGCTAAAACACAGTAACCCCAAAATGTAATAGGTATTTGAGCTTGAAATCTAATAGCCCTTGTGACTTCTAATATATGTCTGTGTTTTCTCTCAGCTACACCATTCTGCTGAGGTGTATACACACAGGTTCTTTGATGTATTGTTCCTAATTCTTTAAACATTTGTTCACACACAGAGTTCACAAATTCTGATCCATTGTCTGTTCTTATAATTTTTACTGTTGTATCAAACTGTGTTTTTACATATCTGAAAAAATGCTGAATTGACACACAGGCATCAGATTTTTGTTTTAGCAAAAATATCCAAGTTACCCTTGAGAAATCATCTACAATAGTCAGAAAGTACTTATTTTCATCTATAGTAGGCACTCTATAAGGTCCCCACAAGTCTACATGTATGAGATCAAAACACTTGCTACTTTGTATACTACTTGTGGAAATGGTAACCTAGTGTGTTTTGCACAAGGACATACAGTGCACTTATTTATTCTATTTCTAATAGTATCAGTATCTATATGTAATATCTTCTTAAGAGTCTGGGTGGATACATGACCACATCTCCTATGCCACAGAACTATATCTGAGTATTCACTTTTATTTGTATCATTTTCCTTTGCAATCAAAGCTACCATTTTGTTCCTTTCAGCTGTATTAGTGTATAGAAGATATAATCCAGCATTCTCTTTACCAATCCCCTTCACCTTCCCAGTGAAGAGTTCTTGAAATACACAAAAATCAGGGAAAAGGGTTGCTGAGCATTATAATTCTTTGGTTAGATTAGAGACTGATAATAGGTTATACTTGAACTGAGGAACATAAAACACATTAGTAATAATACTGTTTTCTAATATAGAACTTGTTCCTATATGAGTGACAGTTGTAATATCTCCATTATGAAGTAAAACTTTCTTTGGATTGTTTGATTTATTTACTGTCCTTTCATCTAGTAGTTTTTTATCAGCTACCATATGGTTTGTTGCCCCGGTGTCTATAATCCATTGACTAAGGCAACTAGACACTAATAAAGTTGTATCCATACCTGCCACATTTGCTGCAGTAGCTGAATTTGATATGCCATTGTTATTCAACATCTGTAATCTGTTCATATTGAGACTTTGTAAGAGCATAGTTTTCAAGACCTGATTTCTCCATAGTTGAACTAGGTCCTTGAGTTTGAGCATTAGGCCCTGGTTTTTCCTGCTCCAGCACATTTGTATTCTTCCCATAGCTGAACATAGGCATTGAGTTTGCTTGTTGATCATTAGACTGACTAGATTCTGTCAACATATTCACATTATAAGCTGCATTTGTCCCATTGTTTATTCTCCTCTTGTTCTTGAAATCTGCAGGATACCCAACAATCTTGTAGCAGTTTTCTTTACTGTGCCCTTTCATTTTACAGTAGTCACAGTAAACATTGTAATTCCTTTTAAATCTCTGATTCTTAATCTGATTTGTACTAGATTTTGAGTACATAGCAATCTCATAATTTCCTCCTTGGCTTGTAGGATTAGATCCCAGTATTCCTGAAGTTGCAGCAACAGATTTTTGACCCTCGTCACTTATAATCAGTATAGGCTTGATTTACTGTAGGAACAGGACTTCTCATTAGAATTTGACTCCTAGCATGTGAGTATGAGTCGTTCAGTCCCATTAGAAATTGATACAGCTTCAGTTTCTGCAAGTAAGCTACAAAATCTCTTGATTTTAGACAATCACAGCCAGGTGCTGGTACTAATGCTTCAAATTCTTCCCATAGATCTTTTAATTTCGAAAAATACACTGATACAGATGTTGTTCCTTGTGATAGAGTAGCAATTTCTTTATGAAGATTGAAGGTTCTTGAACCATCTATCTTGTTGAACCTTTCAGCCAAATCTTCCCAGACCACTTGAGCACTAGATGCATACATAATTCCTCCAAGCAGTCCTTTTCCCACTGAATTCATGATCCAAGAAAGAACAATTGCATTTACCCTTTCCCAGTGATTCCACATCGTTTCTGGGAATCTTTCTTTCCTGCATGTACCATCAACCATTCCTAGCTTATTTCTGCCCAGCAAAGCTACTCTCATGGATCTGAACCAAATTGAGTAGTTCTCCATTCCTGTCAACTGAAAAGAGATAATCTGAATTCCACTAACATCTGCAGGGGATAAGAACAACGGATGATTGTAATCAATTCCATTTACTTGATTTCCTTGAATACCAGCTGCATGTTCATTTGGAGGTTGAATTCCTGATGGTTGAACCACTGATTCGCCATTAATAGCCATTTTTGTTAATGTTCTTCTTCAAGATTCTGATAAGAAGAATAAGAGAGCAGAAAGTTTGAGAAATCAAAGAATTCTTGAGTTGAATTTGGATCGATGTACAGATCACAACAGTAAGTTGTGTATGCTCTGATACCATGAAGATTAATTCATACACTTGTAATGAATATCATGAAGGAATAATCTGAGAAGCTTTAGAAATAAAAACAAAGAACAGAAGCAGAAGTTAGGCAAGAGAGAAGTATTAGGCGGAGAGATAGAGAGAGAGGAATTTAGAGTTTATTGTTTTATTCTCTAAAAATGTGTATTTACATTTTATGTCACATGTATGTATATGTATATGTATATATATATATATATATATATATATATATATATATATATATATATATATATATATATATATATATATATATATGCTAAATATGTAGTTAAGAACTTACTAACTACCTAACAACTCCCTAACAGCTATTAGTTAGTTAATTAACAGCTTTTATCTAAAAGACTAAACTACCCTCACATTACATTATTTAACAAATTTCTGTAATATTTGTGCAAACTAATGGTGAAGAAGATGAACACTATGATAAAGAAAGAAGAAGAAAGCCATGTTAACAAAAGTAAATCAATTCACGTGCTTAAGTTCGGGTGAGATTCACATCATGCCATGTCAGCATGTTGTGTTCAATAGGCACACATTTCACATAGTTTAAGTGTCCAATAGGTCATACTCTTAGTTAAGGTGTCTGAATGAAATATTTTGACAAGTTTAAGGGGTTGTCTATATATTTGGCCAAATATTAACATAATGTACATTCATTTGCGGAACAAGGTTGGGCAATTGCATTCTTGAGCTTGCTTCCATGAGAATGAGAAAGACAAAAGCTATCAGATTATTCATGCTCATGTTAGTGGTCCTCTAATACAAACGTTAAGTTGATGCTACAATTGGATAAAAGTTATGTCCATATTCTGAAAAGAAAATAGGAGAATCTTAGGATGATATTGCATCGTTGAATTACCAGAATTATGTGTATTTTTAAAACTGGGCTAGAAATTTTGAATAGTTAATACAACTGAACACCCACAATGCAGCAATTACATAGTTATATTCAAGCCAAAACGGAAAAAAGAAAAGCTACATTCTCAGTGCCATGGAAAGTTTATACAGGAATTATGAAGGGCTGAAATATGACAGAATGTTGTTGTTCATCTCATTCCTAAGAGTAGTAAAGCAATGGAATTTCCCTTCTACTGGAAAGCATAAGTTTAATCTTAAATGACATTTACTTCTATTCCTACAAACAATATGAAACTTAATTGACAGCTGTGCAGTCAAAGCCGCAAGAGGAAAGCTGAAAATTTGCTCATCCGAAACAGAGCTAGATGCAATAATCAGCATGAACTTGTTCCTCATGTAACATGCTAATATTATTCCTCCAATTATCTAGTAATCAGGGTCTATCAGAAACAGCCTCTCTGCCCTATCGGGGTAGGGGTAAGGTCTGCGTACACATTACCCTTCCCGGACCCCACTTTGTGGGATTTTACTGGGTAGTTATTGTTGTTGTAATTATCTAATAATCACTTATCACGACATGAAGTGTACCATCTGAAAACATGAGGATTGAGTCAAAGAGGGCAAAACAAAGCCAACTATAACTTAAAGATGAACAAGAATTCATGCTTAATCTCCTGAAATTTCGTGTATCATTAGGATCATCGGAGGGATATGCACCAACCAATATCACATATAATGTCACCCTACAAGTCCAAATATCTGTCAGCTTCACCTCCAAATAATAACATATACTACATATTAAGGTTTAGGTCAAGAGAAATGCATAAACTGAAGTGTCTTCTAAAGATCATTAGCATACCTTTCCGTAGTACTTCTTTGTTTGATAAGATTTCTAGTACAATATGGGCCTGAGTTCCTACTGAAGATTTGGGTTGAAAATGCACAGCTGTAGAATAAACAAAGGAATATACGAGTCAGAAACTGAACTGAAAAAGAAACCAATCACAGCAGAGATCATATAGTTTAGTTCATTGCATATTTTTACAAGGTAAATGAATTTTTAATAATGAAAAATAGGTATACCAAAAATTAGAGAATCTACATTAAAACATAATTCTCTACGTAGGACACCCCATCATCTCTATCAAAAGGGATCTCAAGGGTTCACCTAAAAGCAGATTCATTGCCTTGGAATAGCAAAAGTCACATATTTTTAGACATGGTGTGTATTTTCGAGCTTGAGATCATAGCGGCACACTTCCTAGAATTCAAGATAATAATCACATCACACGCTCATAATACAAGAGTAATCTAATATTCTGTGAATTAGCCAATTTTCTTTTGGTTTAGAATTATCCAATTTGAAACAAATTAATATAGGCTCTGTAGACTGTATACTATGGAGTGATAGTAACTGATTCCTAATATAAGTTGTCGTAAGAAAAATATTGCTGGAAGAAAAACAAACACAGATAAGATAGATCACATGAGTAAATAATAGTTACATGATAGGACAGTGAAAGAATTATCTATTAATATTCTAGCGAGAATGCTAAAGAATAAACCCTGTAAAACACCGCTATTCACACACACATAGCAAAAACACTCAGAAGCGTCCGAACTTGAATATAGTTAATTGTGTATTATCTCTTTATGATGTCAAACTTTGTAAATTACCTCCTTGTGGTAAAGCAAATATGCTCATTATGCCATCACAGTAAAAAGAAACACGCGAAATAACAACAAATAAAAAGAAGGATTATGAGATAAATCAGAAGATTGATACAAATACTCAGTAAAATGAAATTCGAAAGAACAAAAAGATCCCCGGAATTTAACCAAAGCAGAGAGGGAAGATTTAAATACGTACTTGACTTATAATTTTTCTCTTCACGTTGTTTGCACAAGCTCCACACAGAATTTCCTGCAAATTTGAACAAACAACTTCAAGAGAAAAATGCATACATTTGGAATCCATAAATAGAAATGTATGGCATAAATACAAAGACAAAAAGGATCAAAAATAATCTGCTGAAATAACTTGAACTAACGTCCAGAGTTATAACATCTCTGACACCCTTAGAGGCAACAATACTACGTTGCATAAAATCTCCACAACAGTCTGATCTCCACAACAGTCTAATGGTCACCTTGTGCCCATAAACTTGCAACGGTTATCAATCTTACCAGTGAACTCTGTCTGAGACAATACAACAAACACCTATCGGCGTTCAGTTTATTATGTTTTTATTTTCGCATCTCATCTCCTTACAACTTCGAAACAACGATTCTTCAACACCACGAGAGATGGTAAATTGTACTGACGTTTTAGCTCTTTTAGCTTTCCAGGTGTCAATTATAGCCAGACCCACATTATATTTGGCTTCTTTGATACGAGATAGAAGAGTCTGTGATTGCGGAGGTTGTACCTGAGTCTTCGGGGAAGGAACTCTACCGTTAAATCAGTTAGAAAGCCCAGCTAATTAAAGTTATTAGTTAGTACACTTTAGTCCATTATAAGTTTTAGTATACAATTTACTTATTTGTAATTAGGCCCATGAATTATTTTGAGAGAATACTTTTTAGTCCATCATAGGTAGTTATGATGTTTTGTCCTGTAGAAGCTGAGTGGGTGATATATACTCTGTAATTATCCATTACCATTATCAATCAAATTAAGCTTTTTATCTTGCCCTAGTTCTTAACGTAGCCATGATTCCTCTTTAGTTCTTCTTCTTCTTCAATTACACATAAGTGGTATTAGAGCACGATATTGCTCGAAGGATTCATGGCGACTGAAATATCAGAGGTGATGTCAATCCTTCACAAAATGTCTGTTGATATGGTAAATCTAAATCAGAGGCAGGACCAATCTGAAGCTCGACACGAACAAGCTATTCGGAGTCAAGTTTCTGCCATGCGTGAGCTTAAGGAAGTTGTAGCAATAGGGAAAAGACCAGAGAGAGACAAGGACATCAACCCCAGTGGAGGAGAGTTGTATTCTCCATCAGACACTCCATTAAGGTTTGGAGATCTGATTTCCCCTTTTCCTGCGAGCTCGAGTTTGAATAACTCAAGTAACACTCAGCTGAACTCACCTGGTAATTTTAACCTTCAGAGTACTGTTCCATTACAAACCCCTTCTTCTGTGGTACCAGCTGCCCCTAATTTTCAAACGAGCAACCCTTTTGTTAATTCCCTAGTGCAAATTTGCTCATCTCCCATTCCTGAAACTCAAAATTTGTTGAACTATAGTAGTTTGTCCTCACAAGTAACAACTGTTGTGAGCAATTTAACGCCAGTAACCATGGCTCCTAACACATCCACACAACCCTACCCCCATAACCCAAACTCAGCAAACTTACCCCCCAGCCTTCCCTAACTATAATGTACCTACTGTAGGCTTGAGCAACCAAAACCCTCAAACCAATTATATGAGGTATCCCATGCCACAGTCGCACGATCTTTCACCACTGCCTGAACAAGGCAGGCACTACCCAACACACTAGCCCTTTGGCCAAGGAACCCCTATGGGAATGTCATTATCCCACAACTCCTATGTTCAATTCCCACCTGCCTATAATACACAACCCACACACATTCCTCCACCCCTTTACCACCAAATTCCCTTTGCACAAAACAATGCTCCTTACCACACACACCAAATATATACTAATGTGCCCTTGCCTAACATTCCTTTCACCAAATATACCAAAGTGGAGTTCCCTTAGTTCAATGGGGAAGATCTGAGAACATGGTTGTACAAGGTGGAACAGTTTTTCTCTGAAGAAGATGTCACCATCCAACAAAAAATAAAGTTGGTGTCAATGCATTTTGAAGGGGATGCCCTGCAATGGCATTTGGGGTACATGAGGAGTAGAGGACAAATGCCTCTTCCAACATGGGAAGAGTACTTATGGGCATTATGTGATAGTTTTGGGGCAGAATATTCAGACCCTATGACTGAGTTGATGAATATTAAACATACAGGTAGTGTGAAAGACTACCAAAGAGCTTTTGTTAGTGTCATGACCTGGCTCAATCTATCAGTAGAGCATGCTATAAGCATTTTCCTAAACAACCTCAAACCTGAGATTAGTAATGTTGTCAGAGTTGGGAACCCTTGTACTCTCCCACAAGCATATTATCTAGCTAGTCTTCAGGAGACCAACTTTGCAGCCCAAAGCCAAGCTATCAGGAGTAGTGTTGCTGGTTTATTCTCTCATAGAGGGCCAATGGGGCATCATTCTAGCACAACACAGAAGAACACTACCAACAACTTGAGAAAACCTGTTACTGCCTAAATGGATAACAACAGGAGAAGAAGGCTTACTCCAGCAGAGATGGAAGAGAAGAGAGCTTAAGGTTTATGTTTCTTTTGTGATGAGAAATATGTGTTTGGTCATAAGTGCCAGGCCAAGAGACAATTGTATTCACTTGAGTTAGAAGTGATTGAAGAGCATGCTTGTGCAGAAGAACAAGAGATACTTGAAGAGCTGGAGGAAGAGGAAGCAGGAGTGGTGACAAAACCATCAGAAAACTATGCCATTTCCTTGCAAGCTTTAAATGGATCCATGGGAGACAAAACTCTTAGACTTAGGGGCTACACTGACAAAAGACCCCTAGAAATCTTCATTTACTGTGGATCAACACATAATTTCATAGATGAAGAGACTGCCAGGAAGTTGGGTTGTGTAATCCAAAAGATCAAACCACAACTAGTGCAGGTGGCTGATGGAAGGGAAATTCCCACTGATAAGATGTGCAAGGGGTTCAAATGGTTTATGCAAGGGACAATGTTTGAAGATGATTTCTTAGTGTTTCCAATAGGGAAGAGTGATCTAGTTCTGGGAATCCAATGGTTATACCCATTGGAAGACATCAAATTCAATTTTAGAAAGTTGTTGATAGAATTTGAGTATAAGGGTAAATTGTTAACACTTAAGGGCATACAACCTACCTTTAAGGCTGTGGATGCTAAGTCTTTTGAGAAGATGTCTGTGGAAGGTTCACAATTCTTCATGGTAAGGGTAAAAAGTGAAAGGGAGACAGCAGAACTGATCACTAGTTTTGAGACAGAATCTGAGGAAGTCACACAACTACTAGGAGAATATAGTGAAGTCTTTGGTGAGCCACAACAACTGCCACCTTCCAGGGGAGTCTTTGATCATCATATTCCCCTGTTGGAAGGTAGTACACCAGTAAACTCCGGGCCCTACAGGCTAAGTTGCACGGACTCTTCAATTTTGGTGTCGTCCCCATCCTGATACGAGACTGGACAGGTGCTGGAGCGGAAAACGTCCCGGATACGGTCAACCGACTTCGTACACTTTAACCGGAGTCCATCGACAAATTTGGGAGAAAAATTGAGATTTTGATTTATCAAAATCAAAAATTAAACAGATTTAAGTTATGGAAAATGGCATACCTTCAATGTTGTAGTATTTTTGTCTCATATTTGCTGCTTTATGTCCGATAAAAACTAAGACTAATACAGTCTAGAAAAAATAACTAATAATATCTAAAGAAAGATAGGAGGAAGAAGAGCAGGGCTGTGATCGCCATGTAGCAACCTTGCTAACTCCACAGATCCGCGACGAATGAAAATCAACAATCGCTAGCACGTCCAGCAACCCCTGGATCTGCACACAAGGTACAGAGAGTAATGTGAGTACGCCAACTCAGTAAGTAATAAAAGTAAATAAAGACTGAACAGTAAGAAACACATAAAGTCCACATCATGAAATCTCAGTATGTACAACATGCTTTCAAATCAGTATGTGAGTCAAATCATCTCGTTTAAAAATCCAGTTTCACTAAACTGTTTTAAAACGTCTTTCAACAATTTTTCCAACAAAGTGATGAAACAGAGAGTAAAAATGATGAAAACATAAACAGCCCCTCGGGCAAACCATCACTCGTGAACAGCCACTCGGGCAAACATGAATCATAATCAGCCCCTCGAGCAAACCTCACATCACTCGTAAACAGCCCCTTGGGCACAACATGAATCAAGAACAGCCCCTCGGGCAAAATATCATATCACTCACTCAGGGTACATGCGCTCACTGGGGGTGTGCAGACTCCGGAGGGGCTCCGACAGCCCAAGCACTATAACAAGCCATCTCGTGGCATAAATCAATTAGTCCCTCGGCCACTCATAATCATAAATTAGGAATAACATGCTGTGGTGCGCAGCCCAATCCCATAATATCCTCACAAAACATGCCCTCGACCTCACTCAGTCATAAACCTCTCAAGCCACTTGGGCTATCAGTAAAAACAGGGTGCTCAGCCCAAAATATCATTTTATGCATCAAAACGGAGTAATAAAGACTGAGTTATGAAATCAGTAAACACAGCATGACTGAGTATAGATCTTAAATCAAAACAGTAAGAGGATACTAAGAAAAGGCCCCTAAGGGTCCAAACAGCTTTGGCACAAGGCCCAAATATGGCATTCAACCCAATTATGGTAGTTCTTTCTAAAACACATAAGTATCATATAGTTTACAGTCAAATACGCAACTTTATAGTTGCTACGGGACGGACCAAGTCACAATCCCCAAATGTGCACGCCCACACGCTCGTCACCTAGCATGTGTGTCACCCCAAAGAAGTAAAACAATGTGAAATCCGGGGTTTCATACCCTTAGGACTAGATTTACAATCATTACTTACCTCAAACCGGTCAATTCCCTATTTCGCGATGTCCTTGCCTCTCGAACCGGCCTCCAAACGCCTCGAATGTAGCCACAAACAATTCGATACAATCAACACGAGCTAAAGGAATCAATCACATAAGAAAATGCTAAGCTTTAGGCCAAAAGTCAAAAAGTCAACTCAAAAGTTGGGCCCCGGGCCCCCGTCTCGAAACACGACAAAAGTCACAAAATCCGACAACCCATTCGATTACCAGACTAACCATACTAGTTTCACTCAAATTCGACCTCAAGTGGGCTTTCAATTCCCAAAAACACATTTTATGAAACTCCACCAATTTTACCCAAATTCTATCCAAATCACGAATCAAATGATATATTCATGATATTAGCCAAAACCGAGTTAGAATTACTTACCCAGATGATTTCCTTGAAAAACTCCCGAAAATTCGCCTCAAACCGAGCTCCCAAAGTCCAAGATGTGAAATAAAACCCTAAACCTTGCTTATATAGTGCCCTCTGAACTTCCATTCCGCGGTCCGTGTATTTCTCACCGCGGCCCCACACTCCCACTGTGGTCCGCGAAATTCTACCTCGGCCGTGGGTCCTGAGATATCAACTACAGCGGTCCGCATGAAATTCACTCCGCACAATCCTCACCGCGGTCCGCCGAATTCTCTCCGCGGCCGCACTTCCAAGATCCGAGACCTGCAACTTTCCAACACCAGATACCAGATATTTCCAACTTCCAAATCTAAATAATGA